TATATATACATACTGTATATCTTCTTGCTCACATCTGTGCCACCATCCCATCCTTTACGACTGTTCAAATTTTTAAAAAATGACTGCCCATCCTTATCACGGTTGTATATTCTGAAAATGATGCTACATGACATCGAGGATCTTCATTGAAGCTGGAAATCTTGTACTCTTGCAAACATGTTAAGTTTTACAAATTGTGTATAAATTACACAGACACCCCCCCCCCCACACCCCCCACGTGCGTGACAAACACAAACTTTAAACGTGAAGTTTTACATAACATTTGCTGGCGAGGTGGATGCGCCCCCCCCCTCCACACTCCATTTTGCAGATACATGGACGTACAAAGGCAATCTCACAGAAATAAGTTCCCCACCTCTCCCCGTCCTCCTTTCCCCTGCTCCTTTGTGCTGAAGGCRCTGTTATCTCCGCCCCAAGTTCTGTTTTTCCCACAGCCGGCAGTCCGCCTGCACACACCCCACACACTTTTTCTCAAGAGCTGGGTGCAGACCCAAGGAGACCAACAACCAATGAAAATGTTTTGAGTGCCATGCTAAGCATTTTGATTTTGTTCTACCTTTACTTTGCTTATTTTAAGACAAAAATAAATAAATACCCACTGAGTAAAAAATGAAAATGGGTGATATTTAAGCAGTTTTCTGCACAAAAGAAATTTCAGGCTAAAAAGGAAATAAAAAGATATGGAAGCATAAAAACTCATGGTGATGTTTCAAAAGATTAGATGATGCATAAAAATCTGAGTCAGCAGGAAATGATCAAATCTTTTTTGCCAACCTAGTTCTTAACCTAGATATAGAAATGTCACAGACACACACACACCCAACACAAACACTCATAAAGACACGGACACATGCGTAAATACCGACAACTCTCAYACTCACAAACATCCATGCAAGGTTATTTCTCATTCTGGGTTTCCTGACGTAACAGGGGGGGTGGGTTTATAACCACAAAAAGGAAGTGGTCACACTGATGCAGTTTTCAAATACATTACAAACTGCAGCTGTATGCACACACACGCAAAAGAATATCTATATTTTTGTGCACAAACCATCCATGCACCTCACACGTACATTCAACCATCAAAAAGGAAGTGGTGTTTTCTCATTTCAGCTGACACACGCAATCTTTGTCTCCCCTACAGCTACTCAAACCAAAACCATAACACACACGCACGCACAGGGTCAAATATACACATTTTCACACGCTAGTCTGCCTTCTTTTTTTTTTTTTGTTCGTTTTCTCTGACACCCACATTTACTTCTCCTTTCTTTTTTTTTCTTTTTTTCACACTTGCAGGCATAAGAGCATGCAGGCACAAACGCAGATAAACACACAATCACAATGGTCTCGGCCCCTGGCACAGACAGGCTCACTTCGTCTGATCTCCTAYGCCGGCGGAAAAATCACAAGGTGGCCTTGGCCGACCCGGGCTAAAAATAAAAYGCTTTGTGTGTTAAGAGCCGTAAGGTCTTGTTTTATGGACCTAAAAATTCATTTTCAGTTGCAGGAGGGCAATAACAAGGTCACACTCTCTGACAAGTCCTTGCATTGTTTCTTTTTGTACCACCCTGGATAATTATATAACGCCACATGGACTTATCATTTATGTGGTAACTCTTCAGTTTGAAGATGTGCTTAAGAGTTTCATATAAAATRAACTCTTTGTTTTTTTATTTAGACGGATGTGATGCATGCTAGATAATTGTTTCATTTTGCTAAAATATTTTATACATGACCATTACTCCTCATTAGATGCATTTACAGGATGTACAAAAAGTCTTTCTTCATCTGTTTCTCATTGCTTTTTGTTTATGCTGACATCACTTTGTGTCTTTTCTGTTTATATAATGAAAAAAAAATTCTAAACTAAATAACATCTGTAAACTCAGCCTGAAATACATCAGGCAGTAAAGTTTTTATTTTTTTAAACACATATAGATTAACTGCAAAGTCTGTCTCAGTTTTAATCATTTGCTCATATCTTCAGTATTGTTGGTAACACGTGAGAAAATACATGTTTAAAGTGTTTCTGTTGCATTTATTTGAACATTTTGTATTTGATTGTCATAGCTGGCTGCTGCCATTGAAAGACACAGTTCCCAGAGTTCATTGCACTTCAGGAGGCAGATAGAGAAGTTTCGCAGGGAGGCGGAGCTAAAGATGAAGGTGGAGAGGGAGAAGAACCACATGCTGTTAACTCAGAGCCAAGGAGAAAACTCTCATCTTCAACAGAAGGTACAGACAAGAATATAACACAGAGAACTTCAATAAAAAATGTTTTGTATTTGTATATAACTCTTTCTGATTTTTATATTATTCAGTTTCTTTCTGCTTTCATATAATATTTATTGTATTTTAGGCAGTACAAACAGTTTGATATTTAAGTTAACAGAGAAAAACTACATAAACCTCATTAAGTACATTTTGAAATTTTTCAAATTATTTTTCTTTTGGCCCATTTTAAAATGTTCTCATTCATTTTTAAATGATACAAAATTGTAAAAAAAAAAAATTTAGTTGTTTAAATTTTTTATTTCACATAGTATATTTAACCGCTAACTAATTTTGAACTAATCTATAAAACAATGTTTTTAAAATACAGTAAAATGCACAAGTTTAACTTTTTCCACTTCTGTTCCATTTTTTGTAGTTGTCAGCGTATTATACACTGTGGTTAAAAGTGAAGAAACTGAAAAARTGGATGAAATAAGACTACAAAATACAACYGAAAAACAGCTGAGTCGTGTTTTTTTAAGAAAGAGTGGGGAAAATAAGCAAATGCCTAACATCTRGVCCTGAGAGATGCATCWTTGTTCAGCTGATCATTTTCTGTGTAATGTGTTTTCATCTAATAGCACTTCCTGAATATTGGTGATAATAATCTGTTAGTGTCTTTAGATTCAATAACAAATGGGAGCAAATACTGTGTTTGTGACAAAATAATGGTAACAACGTATCTGAAAATCCGATTTTAAATTTTATGAC